TCAAGTGTGTTTTAACTATGTAGCATCTTCACTTGACTTCGAGACGTGTCATGCTTTATGCCCATGTTATAGTTTGCTGTAAATCTGTTTTATGTTGTTTAAACGACTTCGCCTGTTAGGGGAGCGCCGCTGTTGGCGATAAAAGAAAATAATTAAATTCAAAAATGGGTTCTGATAAACGTGCTTGTTACGTACGTCGAAATGACCATGTTCTATTGTGTCGCAGATCCAAGATCCAGCTGCGGTGGAAGCGGTAGCGCATGTGGATGACGTGAAGATCGCTTACCAGCAAGCAGCCGCGATGCATCCAGAGCCCGTCCTGAACAAAGACGACGAGGACGACGGGTCCAAGGGTTGGGCGAGGACAGGCCCGTGGTGGTGACAACGAGGGGCACAAAAATATCCCCTCTGCTGTGGCGAGGTGTGCGAAATTAACATCAAACATGCGGCACTGGCCTGCGTGCCAGGTACGTGGCGGCCACGCGCAAACATCTCGATCCAAGCATAGGGCTGTCGACCCGAGAGGCGCCACCCAGCTGTGCGCCAGACGACTGGATACACACGATCAGTCGGAGTGGTCTAATGGTACCGTCCCCTGCCTGGATGAGCGTTGTCGAGGCTTTCGAGGCCATTCCAGCTGGTGATGGGCCGCGGCATGGACAGAGACATTGGTGTGGTCGACCGCCTCACGAAGCTGCTGATGGAAAAATACTCCACCCAGGGCAAGCCGGTTACGCGGAAGCTGATGACGACGCGCAACCACCTGCGCCTCAGATGGCTTCATCAGGCTAGGGCGGAGCGGGCTATAGTTGTGCTCTCCGCTGCTCCCCCCCCCCCCCTCTCGTTTGCTTTGTGTCCACACCAAATGCGAACAATGAAGTGGATGTTGCGCACAGGAGGCTTTCTTAGCAAGACGCGATGAATTATAAGTCATGCGTGTGTACAATGCATTGGCAGGATGGCATAACGGATCTGGTCTTCATAAACGCCATCTGCCACGACCTTCGAAGGTTTCATAACGAACATCTCCGTCGTCTCAAGCTGCCTCCCCAATATGGTCTCATCTGTAGGAATGTCACCAATCGATCGCGAAGCAACCAATGCCACGTTATTCGGAGCCGATTTTGAAAACAACAAGCTGTCACCTAAATCAAGTGAGAGGTGGTGAAGAGGAGGTGAGAGGATGTAAACACGACAATAGCCCGAGACTCAGGCGATAGAATGCTCCCGAATGTGACCCGCCGCAAACTGGCGGATTTCGTCGGTAAAGCCCTGAAGCTCGTCGGCATGTCGCTGGCCATGGCTTGGCTGTGCAGCTGCGTGATTTTGCTGAAGGACCCCCGCGCAGTATACACAGTCCACAGGCGCGCCACTGCGCACTTCGCCGCCGAGGGACAATATTCCCGGGACAGAAATGACACCATTAAAATAATAGCATGCACTCACACTTCCACACAGATGCGTTTTGCATACCTGAGCATATGTGGGTTGAGGTGTGCAGAAGGCGTTGCAAAACGGAATGGACAAACTTTCCAACTGTCATGCATGTTGCCTGATATGTCAATAATGAATGTCCCATATTAGCAACAAATTTCGAAAACATGAGCTAATGAATTGTTAGGTCATGTTCTTAGTGTAAATATCACTAGGGAGTTAGACTGCATCACTGGCAGGATGTTATGCACAAATCAATTTTATTCGTTTTTAGTCCAGATTACGCGGTCAACATTTCATACCAGCTCTGGGTTTCTTCCTTCTTTTAACTTTTCATATGTCATGTCGTGCATACGTATTTCCAGAGTCTTGGGAGATTCTGGCGCATGCAAGACGGTTCTTCATTGCGAAGTTTATTGTCCCTTTGTATGATTGTTGGATTTCGCAAACCGTATGCAAATTGGGAGTAAAGCCTTTTAAGATGTTAGAGCCCTGTTCATCATATGATAGCTATATATTTTGGTAAATAAGCGATTATTGGCCGCCATAGTTTTGGTGGGCCACACCGACTCTGCTTACATATCTGTAGCTGTAATGCATGAAGCCATAAGTCCCAACCTTACAGCCATTGGCCCCGGTTTTTCAACCATGTTTCTACCCCAGCCAGCTCTGCTCGCCGTCCCAGCCAAGGCCATCTCGCTGCAACTTTCAAATTTATTTCTTTCAACTTTTCTTTTCTTATTTCTTTCAACTTTTCTTTTCTTATTTCTTTCAACTTTTCTTATTTCTTTCAACTTTTCTTTTTTATTTCTTTCAACTTTTCAACTCAAGTTTTCTTTCTTTCGGACAACTTTCGTGTTCGTATCCTCAGGCTATTTAGTGTCGTGTGCAGGCGTAGCAATCATGCGGCTTTCCCGCCGGTCGGGAGGGTCGCATCACCAGAGGCGATACCAAGGTCCCGATTGCCTGCTCCGTCATGGATGTCAGAATCAGTTTTACGCTGTTTTTGCAGACGTCCGAAAGATTCAATGCTTGAGTGGTATATGAAACTGGTGCTCTCACTGACGCACTTTCAATGCATTTTGAATTCTTCCCCATTTGCAGTTTGCGTTCGCTAGAAGCCAAAATGAGCCGGACCATAGTTTTTTTTCTGCAGTCGCGACCACCATCGTCTTGACAACCACCGTGCGCACCTCTCTCGGCGGAAGTATGACGGCGTTTGTGATTGGCCCAGCGGGCAAAGGCCTGTTGCCGAGAAGTTGGTTAGTTGAGTTTGAACCAGTGCGTCATATGGATCATACGATACTGCGATTCCCTAAACCAAAGTGCGCCTCGAAGAGATCCATGTTGGCAAACGCCATAGAGGAGAACTCAACGCCATGGTATAACACTTCGTTGAATTCGCGGAATAGTAGCTTCATGTTCGCATATCTTCTCGTACAAAAGGAGCATTTCAAGCTTTTGTCACATCCATTACATAAACATTGAGCGAGACACATGAGCGTGTTGCAAACATTACAAAACACGCACATTGGAAAAGCAAGACACATGATGTTTGTTGCTTTCTTAGTGGTGAGCGGGAGGTCAGATAAGATTTCTCCAGCAGGGCCATTTACTTCAAATCGAAATTCTGAGCCAATCAGAAGGATTTTGAGAAACTGGTATCACTGATCAAACCGTACGCGTCTGATATGACAACAAGTGACAGCACCAAGAACGTGAAATGTTTTCCTATATGTATATGTATATATATATATATATATATATATATATATATATATATATATATATACATATATATGCGTAGGCGTATGTAGCAAAATAGCAAAAGTTTGTTTCGCTTTGTGTATGTTAGTGTTTCGCTATGTGTATATTAATGTTTCGCTATGTTTCGATATGTGTACGTTAATGTTATCTGTCGTTTTGATAACGGCATGCTGCCGAAATATCAACGCAACTATATCTACATTCTCCTGGTTTTTCTCCGAGGAAAAACGCTATTACTATTGTCTTATCTACGAAAATATATTAAGATTGATGTTCTTAAGATGTCTCGATGGTACTGTCGTGGTACTACCCAGTGCTTTTATTAGACGCAGCTATTCCTGAGCTTTTACTGCAGCGGATTTTTGAAATATGCCCCAAAAGGTGGGGCACTCCTTGTGAAAAAGCTCACGATTAGCTACCTTCTCAAAACCTGTGAGCTTCTCACGACAGGAACACAACCAACGGCAGCCTACAGCCTTGCACTGAACCCAATTCCTAACCATGTGGCGAACATCCAAAGCCACCTGTTTCAAATGACACGATGACTTAGAACCCCGCGTAGAAGTCAGCAGACTGATTGTTACAAGGTGCTGAGATCAGCAACAATAATTACGGCTAGAAATAAGGCAGTTATTTGCCATTTTATATTTTAAGCATGTGAAGTGAATCTAGGCTGAAAAATCTGTGAAAAGCACTGGTCCGAGGGGAATTAATCTAAATAAAAAGGGGAATAAAGGGGAATCGGTGACGTTAGTACCAGTGAAGCATGCTTTGTAGCATACTTCTGCCATGTGTTAAAGGCTATCGTGATTTACGCTCCTGTTTGGAAACATTTTGTGCCTCAACTCGCTCATATGGCGAAACATCAATGTTTCGACATATGCTGTACAAAAGCTCACGCTGGAAGCGCTAGCGAGTATAAACCAATACTAACCTTTGAGCTTCGTTTAACTGTGATGGTGTGTCGTAACTTTTTTCTTTTTCTTGATTTTGTCCACAATTGCTCGCACGAGCATTTTGTCCTGTGAATCGGCAGCTTTTTTACCAGCGTCAGGGAGCGCCAACAAAGCAGCTGGCATACTGTGTCACTTCCGCGAAATTTCCCGAGTGGAATGAGGTGCACAGCTTCAATAAGGCAGTGCTTTGACAGATGAGACCTACGAGTCAGAAAAAAGTAAGCCGTGGAGCCCCAGAGCAACCAACTGGAGCCTATACCGCTGGAGTCTAGAGCGCGGACCGATTTGTCCTGCCAGAGCTTACTCCAGGCGAGGTATGCTTTTAAAATGCTGCGCTGGGCTTCACTAATCCACCCTCCCTTGGTCACACACAAAATCACATGAAAACGGCGCTATATGCATTAAGCATCGGTGTACGGGGTCCAGGAACCAATGTACCCACGTGCAGATGACGCGGAATTGCACCTCGCACCTCATACCTTATGGTATACAGGTCTCTCGTCTGGGCCGTAACACAGGCCCATGCCTGAAAATAAGTTTCGCCACTGCTCTGTCATCGGTCTTTTACGTGAATGAGAAATATTTCTTGGCAAAAAATACCAATTAAAGCAAAAATTAGAAAACGCCAGTAAAAGGTCTTACGCGTTTTTCTCGAGAGCGCCACATCAATCGATCAAAGGTTTTAGAGGACCTCCTCCCTTCCGGACCGTCAGCCATGCATAATACAATGAGAGATGACGCGCGACACGCTTTCTTCGACCAATGACTCCTTCTCCACCATGCCAGTGCGGTTGTGCTGGAGCAGAGAGAAGAGACAAGACACGCTATTACCATCCTGCCCATCTTTATTTGTGAACAGTTCGCATCAATCGTGCTGTGGACGGATGAAACGATACACGCTGCACTTCGTCAAGTTATAAACATTGGGCGTTGGAAAACGAACAAAGCTCAAAACGTAAACTAGGAACATCCAATATCACAGAACCACGGCGTCGTGAAAACAATGTGGCGAGGTCATTTGATAAAAGTCCGCTACAACATGCTCTGTTCCATGTTGAGCCATCTCCGCGGGAAAGAACGATCCACTGTCGACAAGTATGCATTATGCTCCCATAGCGCTCCAGCATACGCTCATGGAATGACACACAGTCACACATGAAACTAGGTTCAGCTGCATTTCCACACGCAAATACCCATATTACCACCGAAGAACATGTACAGGAGGTTTTTGCACTCATGGGAGACCTCAAACCCGAACGCCTCGCCCACCACGGTGTGCCATGCGGGGCCATACTTCTTGTCCATGGTTTCTTTGATCATCCGCGCAGCACTCTGAAAACACGGCAAACATGTAGCGAACATGGAACACGGAGTAACATGCGCATTTTGTTCGGTACAACGCTCCAGCTTCTAGCTGATACACGTGGAAATTTAGTGCAAAGCGATTTAAGATGTACGACGCCCTCACTTTAAGACACGTATAAGTATAAGGCAGTGCAAGACGCATCCAGACCGCATGCATCCACTATCATATCCATAACGCAAGAAAGTGGTGTCCAGTCTGGTGTGCATCCACTGCCTTGGGGCCTGACACTAACCGCGAGCAAAATACTGGCGTCATTCAAGACGATAATAGGCGCATAGCACTCGGCCCATACTCGCATGGATAAGTGACGCCGAAAATCTATACGCTGGCTTTCAAAATTTCAAACGTCACTTTTCCGAATTAATCTAATTACGTTGGACACGTAAAAAGTTGAAGTATCGTTTTCCTTTTCATGAGCCGTCTCTCTCTCTCTCTCTTCTTAGTAATTTCTTTTCACGCTGTAATAAGTCTGCAGGGTTTGGGCACCATGACAGGCCGAATAGGAAACTAGCACCACCTGGTAATGCTTTCTTATAGAGATATAGAAGTAAAAATCAAGACTGATCACGGTTCAGGCGATAGACATTTGTTGAATATGAAAAATGGCTGTTTAAATCACAAGTAGTCTGTTGTTCTCGACAAAGCAAAGCATATGCCAGGACTTCGGCAGCGGTAGTTCTTGCAATACGGTACACTAGGAATTGAGCCTATCGAGTATCATAGTCCTGTTTTTTCCTTCTAAGCAGAAGATAACGCTCCCCAAAACGGACTTCCACCTCGAGAAAATCCACAACACCCGAATTATCGTCACGTTTGTTCTTTATTTAAAAGCTATGGACTAACAGCACAACGCGTTTTTGAGTTGATTACGACCCAGGTGATCCGGCTTGGTCTTAGACTCGCGTCCTGTGGGGCTGACTCGTATAACATCTTTAAGTGTAAATTCAGTAGATCGGTAAAAAAAAATTCGGTAAAAAACGATCGGTAAATCGCAATAAAAAACAGTAGTCAACATCTCTCTCCCCGCTCACAAAACACATCCCAGCACTGCAACTTGTGCGCTTTGTCCTCCCTCGTAACACTGTGGACCAGTATGCTGCCAAACTGGAAATACCCAATGTGTTTCCCATTAGGGTTCATGCTATGGGCGAAGCTTTGCACAGCTATCGCAATGCAGAGCTAACATTTGGCAACAAGATACATATTTCATATACGTGGGGAGGACGCCGCAGCGTTCCGCCCATGCAGTTGAGGAACCATCTTGCCATTGCCTCAAGGTGCTGTAAGGGTTCCGTGCGGGCCAATTGCTTTCTAAATTTATTTAAGCCCCTGTTAGGTGACCGATCTAATTCAAGTGCCAGTCATCATTATAGTTTTACTTGTGCACTGGCATTATCCTGTTCATTTCCTGAGCCAACACATAGATGTCTCCCGAAATTACACCTCGTGCAACTCGTACTCGACCTATCAAGCTTACCACGCAGCTCTCTCCACCCAACAATACGTTAGATTTTATTTCTCCCTAAATCGCCTTTAATTCCAACCAGAATTGGAATCGGTTGCCTGATAGCTTACCACCTATCTCTTTTGCCATAGGCCTGATACGGAAAAGCATCATCGCATCCACCTTTATTCGGACGAAAGAAAGGGGGCAGATTAGAAGCACTGGCCTTGATTGCAGCTGAACACGCCATTATATCACCGGGGCGAGGCTACAAGTTACGCCATTAAGTGTAACATGGGTGAGCACCTCGTTGTTGGTAGAATACTTCTCGCATGCCGTGACGCACAGTTCCATCACTTCTCCGCGCATCTCTTCAGGCATATCCGATTGCTGAAGAAGAAGACAGGAGTCATCCTTTTGCATCAGTCATTCACCGTCTCGGTGATCAGTCTGTGTTACATTACATTCACGCAAAATCATGGCACAGTAAGCCGACTACAGCAGAAGATTGAAATAAGCCAATACCAGTTGCCACGGCAAAGCCGATGACGACGTAAATATTGCGGTCGTACGGCTCGTAAGTGTTTTGTCCTCCAGGGCACAGTATGTTGACAGCGCCACTGGATCCTCCCGCTTTTACTGACCGTAGCATTTCACGTTGATGGAATTTCACGCTTCAGAGCACTTGGGCAGTGCTTTAGAAAGCTTCCCAATCACCCACGGATACCAATGTTACCAGGGTTACAGAACAAACACGTGGATTCCAAACTCCACAATGTCGCAATAATGAAAACACCAATAAGAGCTCTGAAATAATTCATTTGAAATCCAAAAAGTTTCTCACGGGCATGGAGACCTTTTGCAACTGTGCCCTTACCACCATTGATAATGTAACTTGAGATTGCCTAACATATTACCTAGGATGATAGAGCATGAACAGGGAACAAGGTGCAAAATGAAGTACATGCCAGTACAGAAGTGAAAGGAAGGTGAATGGCCGCTGGAAGTAGCAGCTGCAAGCCCGGTGCCAGCTTGTAGGGGGTCCATAACTCAAGCTCTCCCAAAACTAAACCCCATCTTAATGTAGCAATACCAATGCTGTCAAGCATTGGGGCCACTTACCCGACAAAGTGGATAGGTATGGACAACTTTCTTCTCTCCTTCCTCTTTCTTAGCCTCGCCGTCATCTGCCATCTTCCGTTCTGTGAACATGAACTGGGGTTGTTTAAGAATCCCAAGCTTGAAGAAGTGTCAAAGTGAATGCCACAATAAGACCATCATGACTTGATATCCACTGAAAGTCAGACTTATGCCAAAAGTCCATAACTGTGGAGCCATGCTTCTTGGACACATTTCCAAACTATGTTGACACTCTCTCTGTGTAAGGCACTAAGTCACTTAACCCAAAAATGCTACTAACAAAATTATCTAATCAGTCACTGTTAAAATGTCTTCCATATCACTGGGCATGTATGCTGTTCATTGCAAACATCTGTTCAATGTTGTACACAATGTTGCTTACTCCCCTTTTGGGCCAATTATGAGTGATAAAATTATAAAACGGGAGACAGGCCATCTGATCATGTCTTTTTTTGGTAAAACATCATGTGTTAAAGCAGCAAGCAATGCATTTGACTTGTCCTCCAAAGTGAAAAATGAATAATGAAGACAAATTTTGTTTTTGGGTTTCAGCCAGAAAGCTGTATGCCATGCAATATTACTTCATTGCTATCCCTCAGAATCTTCCTCTCTCAACTGAAACTTTCACTGACCTGTCAGGTTTTCTACACCCTTAAACAGGTGAATAAGGATGGGTATGCTTGAACTTAGTTTTTAATCAGCATCCAGTCAAAACTGCAAACAAAAATGTGGTAACTTGAGCCAAATGAAATCAATGTGTGGCATGACACCATCCACAGGTGTGGCCATAAATACATCAGGCATTTTGATATAAAGGTATGGAAGCCTGCATCACATGGAAAGTAGCCCAGCTATAACATCAAATCACTAAGCCAAACAACATGTTCATTACTTTGAAAAGCTGAGAAGGTGGTAAACATTTGCCCCAAGCATTGAGTTTAAGCATGATGTTCAGCCACCACAAGCAACACATCTATCAGCTTGTATGATGTAATACCCCAAACCCCAGTCTGAAAAAATCAATCCCCTGAACTGTAGGCCCATGCACCACTGATACACTTAATCCCTCACTTCTGTGAGCTGTTCATGCCACACCCAATTGCACACAGTCTTTGATGATTTTTCAGTGGGAAGTGTCTTGCAATTATCCTTGACTACAATCATTCTTGCAACATCATAATTCCTTGAAATATTGGCCCTCCATGCACTAACATTGGCGGCAACTGGGAGCCCAACTCTGAACACTATACTATGGCACACATACTCTAAATTATTTTCAGTGATGCTGCTGCTATGCTGGATATGCTTGCAGTAGTGTGTTAGATTAATTAGCTGTCTTTCCCAAGCCTGCATCGCAAGAACAACTGAAAAATGAGGGCTACGCCCTCACCACTGTTCCACTTCCACTGGGCAATACGCAATCCTGCTGAGGGGAACCTCACAAGAGATCATGCATTGTCCCGCACTTCTCATGGCCATATTTCACACATTTCAAGCCAGTTACTGCCCTCTTACAATGCTACAACCGGAATTAAATTCATGCTACGATGGCCCTTACTCACAATAACAGACACCCTCGGCCGCAAGACCACGGCGGCTGCAACTGCCGGCAGCCAACGACCGATTTGTATTGTTTGCGCCACTATGGTAACAGTCACCGCATTTGGTGCCTTCTAAAATACTACTTTGAAGCCTTTCATGCATCTATCCAACGCGCTCAAGCGTGGTTCAATTTGACTCCCCGAAGGTTTTTCCGGAATGGAATCCAAACGGCGCGGTGCAGCGACACCAAATTTCGCAAACAGTAGACAAGTGAATATCAGATCATTTGATGTCAAAAAATTAGATGCACCTTGCACGGTCCCTGACATATACTAGGTCAACGTCAAGCCATGGATTCAGCGACGATAATTTCTAGGGAATCATTCAATTTGGCGCAACAACGGAGTGTTAAACACAGCCGTACATCTCTGTGATAGTTTCTTAGGCCACACAACAATTGAATGGACAAATTATATTGACCTAGGGTCAGGTATAAAGGTCAGACCAAAGTAAAAATCAACCCGTTGTATAACTCTAGCGCTTGCTGCATGCGGTAGTTTCTGGTGCGTACTTCGAATTTGTTGACTACAGGAACCGCATTACACATATTTCATGGCCTTCCGAAAGGTCAAAATAGGTCACTGACCAAAATTGATGGAGGTCAACATTTTGTTTTCAGGAACAGACCGCCTAGCCTAATATCTTTGACCCTATTCACATGGAGAGCTCAAAGCAGTCTTGTGTGATTCTGCCCGCCATGACCTTTGAAAGGTCAAGCAAGGTCACCGGCCTTAGCTCAGCATCAGTGACTTTTTGCTTAAAACAAATATCTAGGTTCTGGGGCACTTTCGACACCAGCCGAGAGTTTGCCCTGTTTGACCTGAAGCTACGAACCTAGGAGCCTAAAATTTGACGCAAGTGAATTCACGTACGATCAAATAATCACTGTGAATTTTGTGTCTCTAGCTCTTTCAGTTTTTGATTGCTCAGGGTGGAGGCCTTCAAATCGACCCCCACCCGAGCGAGCATCCAAGTGGGCGCATGTAAAACTCAGCGGTTTCTTTCGAACCGTCTCGAAAATGAGAGCTATCCCTCGTCAAAGGAAGATTTTGTCGGCCCTTGCGATATTCGTAACCTCACACTGTTATCTTCATGTGAAAAACCGAATACAGCACTTCATGGATATACAGATATAGAGATAACAAAGCAGCAGTGCAAACTACTGAGCCCCTGGACCGATTTCCTCGAAACCTCTACCAATATATAATGCAGCTACTATTTCATCTGTCATTTTGACACTGGTGGCCTCTGGTCGCCAACTTCCCCTTAAAAAAAACGCTTAAGCCACGACGGGCCATTGCAGTACAGAGCCGTTCATAACTTACCTTACATATACACCGACCAGGGGCGGCATCTGACAGAACAAAAGCCAGTACGAAGCCATGCCCGAGCAGCAAAAAAAGGAAACGGCATGTTAAAGACCAATGAGCAGTCAGGTAAAACATATGACAGACAAAACACTGACCCAAAACCACATAACATAGACCAAACACCGACCAGAAGCAAAATCTGAAAAAAAAACAGCAGCGCGGAGCGTCGTCACATAGACCAAAAATCTTCCTGAAGCGTCACCATACAGAGCAAGAACCGATCGGGAGAGACAGCTCAGAGACCAAAACCTTGACCCGTGCGACGAACGGCGTCCGACCAGCCAAACACCAACCAGGGACGACATCTTACAGACCCACGATCAATCAGGGATGACATATTTTAGAACAAGGACACCCTGAGGCGACACAGCAAACCAAATACCGACCCACAGCGAAATCTGACGGATTAAGCGCTAACCCAGAGCGTCATCTGAGAAATCACACACTGACCGGGAGCGACATCGACATCATCAGGCCAAACTCCGACCTGGAGCGACATTGCATTAACTACAGACCGGCAGTGATATCTAACGGGAAAAAAAACGCTGACCTGGAGTGACACCTGAAAGACCAAACACTAACGCAGGGCAACTTTGACAAACCAAATGACAACCGCGAGCGACATCTGACAGATTTAACACAAACCCAGGCTGAGCACTGACGGATAAAAAAAAAACACCAAGAAGGACATATGACAGGCCAAAGACCTTCCCAAAGCAAAGTCTTACAGACGAAGGGCGAACCAAGAGGGACATATGACAGATCAAACATCAAATAGGTCGATGTCTGATAGGCCAAACTAATCAGCCGAAATACCAGTAGCCGAACAATATATATATATATATATATATATATATATATATATATATATATGCTAATACCAATAGCCGAACAAACGGGACATCTTACAGACAAACCTCTGAACCAAAGTGATATCTGACAGACACCAAAGTTGAGCACCGTCCGACAGGCCCAAACATCTGTCCGGAACGGCATTTCACAATCCATGAACCGACTAGGAGGGACATCTGACAGACCAAGCACCGACGCGTAGTGACATCTGACAGACCAAACACTATCCCAAAGCGACATCTGATGGACCAAATACCGATCAGGAGCGCCATCTGAAATGCCAAAATCTGGCCCGTGGTTACATCTAACATAAAAATTACCTGCCCAGAGCGACGTCGCACAACCAAAATTCGAGCCTAAACATAATGAACAGATGAAACGATTACGCAGAGCGACACCAGACCGGCTAAAAGACCAACGAGGAACGACATCTAACAAACCAGCAATCAATCGGGAGCGACATCTGACAAACAAATTAATCACCCGGAGTGATATCTGACCGACAAAACACCGATCAGAAGCGACGTCTGAGACACCAAAAGTTGACCGGGAGCGACATTCGACCGACAAATCATCATCCGATAGCGATATCTGCAAAAAAATCGCCAGCCAAGAGCCAAATCTGACAGACACCAACGCGGAGCTCCGTCCGATCGGTGAGGCACCTTCCCGCAGCACCATCTTACAGACCGAAAACCGACCAGGAAAGTCATCTTTCGGACCAAACACTGACTAGTAGCGATATCTGAAAATGAAGGACCAAACACTAACCCCGAGCAAAATCTAAAGGGCTAGACACCGACCCGGAGCGAGATCTGAAAGACCAAACATCAACGTAGAGAAATATCTAGCAGACCAAAGAACGACCTTTAAAAGACAAATGACCATCCGATAATATGTAGCAGGCCTGGAACGACCTCTAAAAGACAAGTCGCCATCCGAGAGCGACATCTGGCATACAAAATACTAACCCAGATTGGCATCCGATGGACCAAACCCCAACGAGGAGCGAAATATGACAGGTCAAACACCGATTCATAGCGATAGCTGACATACAAATCACCAAACCAGAACGACATCTGACAGACCAAACACTAACCCAGATCAAACTTTGAGAGGCCAAACAACGACCAAGAGTGAACCCTTACATATCAACCACCTCCTGAGGCGGCATCTTACAAAGCAAGCGCAGACTAAGAGCGACATCTGGGAGACAAAACACTGGTTAAGATTAGCTTCTGAAAGACCGAATAATAACCTAAGGCGACATCTCGCAGAGCAAATACCAGCATGGATTGACGTCCCGTTGTCTAAACACCGATCCGGAGCGACACACATTGTGTCGAACAGGCAAAATGTTTGTAAGACATGTAAGACGTGAAATATGACAGTACAAAAGCCAAACACAATCGACGTCTTATTGGCTAAATGCTGAACCGGAGCGACATCTACAAGACGAAATACTAACCCAGAACGACATCTGACAGACAATACACCAACCAGGAGCGACATTGGCAACATTCAGGAGCGACATCTAACAGACTAAACATCAACGTGGAGCGACTTCCGACCATTCTAACTCCAAACAGGAACGACATCTTTCAGGCAAACGATTAATCAGGAGCGACACCTTACAGACAAACGATTAATCAGGAGAGACACCTGGCAGGCAAAGCAGTTGCCCAGAGCGACATCTGACAGACGCAAAAGCGGAGCACCGTCCGACAGACCAAACATCCAACCGGTGCGACACCTTCCAGACCAAAGACCGGCTAAGAGAGGTATCTTAAAGACCAAGCACTAGCATGCAGATACATATTACAGACCATTACGCTAAAGCGGCATCTGACCGACCAAAACCCGACCAAAAGCGACATCTGACTTGCCAAAAACTGTCCTGGAGTAATATTCGACATACAAGCTCCTACATAGAGCGACATCTGACATGTAAATCCCGAACCAGACCCTTATTTGACAGAACAAACGCCAACGCGGAGTGACGTCCGACAGGCCAAACTCCACCAGGAACAGATCTTACAAACCAAGAACCGACCAGGAGCAAGATCCGACAGAACAAGAGCGACACCTGACAGGCCGAAAACCTACATCGAACGACATCTGACGGAGATATCAACGATCGAAAGCGACATCTGACAGTTAAAACGCCAACCAAAGGTGACATCTGACAGACACTCATTTCAAGCGTTATCTGGCAGACCTGGCAAAACATCGACCAGTAGTGATATCTCAAAGAAGAAACACTAACACAGAGCGACATCTGACGGACCAAGCACAGATCAGGAGGTACATCAGAAATTAAAAAAAAGAAATGAACCCTAGCGATATCTGACATATGAAGCACCATCCCAGAGCGAAATCGGACGACATAATTACCAATCCAAAGCGACATTTGACAGACCAAACACTAATGCGCAGCGATTTCCCAGAGCCCAAACACCTTCCCAGAGTGAGATCGTACAGAAGAAGGACTAACCAAGAGAGACAGTTTGCAGATTAAAACCCCGACCAGTACGACGAGCGACGTCCAACCAAGCAAACACCAACCAGGAACGACATCTAACAGACTAACGATCAATCAGGGGTGGCATATTTTAGAACAAGGAAGCCCCAAGAGCGAAATAACAAGCAAAATACTGCCCGTGGCGACATCTGATAGATCAAGCACTAGCCCAGAGCGAGATCTGAGAGACCAAACACCGAACAGGAGCGATACCTGACAGACCAAGCACCAAACCCGAGCGACATCTTG